TTAAGAGCTCAAGAAAACCTTGTAGAACACCTCTAGGATCTTCACTAAGTAACAATAAAACCAGAGGATTAGATGAAGTAGAGAGAAAAGATGGCTTCGATTCAGAAAGTTCTTGAGATGATGAGAGCTTCAGATTTGACAATGGTGTAACCCTCGAGTTTGAGAGGGTGGGGAGTAGTTATATAATGGGAGTGTGGTGAGGTTAAGCCTTAACTTGAGTTAAAAAGTTTGTTACACCAATTTTAAATTTTGAAAAGTGAAAATGAGAGAATGGTGTTGCTGCGTTTTATGTATAAACTGGTGTGATATTGTTGTGTTTTAGTGCATAAAAAAGGGAGTAGGATAAGCGTGAAAAGAGTGAGGTTACGTGGCATAGTGGAGGTCAATTTTGTACAACTTTAACTTTTGGACATTTTTGGTAATTTGGTCGCATGAGGTGCATGCATGCATTTGGGGGTGGTTTAGGCGTTTTAGGAAATAAGTAAAGAGTGTATGTGTGGGGTTTATGGTGTGTGTGATGTCCAAAGCAAGTGGAAAATGACCTATAATGCAAAATGACCAAAATAGCAACATTAGCAAATATGGAACCTGTGGTTTTTGTACCTTCTTCCCTTGCTTATAACTTGATGAATTCTTTCTCAAAAATCACAAACTTAGAATCAATGGAAAGGGAGAAAGAACATGAACAAGTTTCATGTTGGCAAGAATTTGGAATAAGGCTTGGAGGATCATGTATGAAGCCATGAAAGTTTGAAATTTGAACCTGGTCAAACACTTAGAAAAAATTTCTAAGTTAAACTAAAATCAAACAATGAAAGCCTTGACTTTGAATGATGATAACTTGTGATTTAAAAGACCAAATGATGAGATCTTTAATTCATTGAAAAGGTAGAAGTTTGATCTACAACTTTAATTTAGATTGCAATTTGAAATGGAGCTTGGATCACAAAGGAATTTGGTTTTCAAAACATGAAGATGAACCCGATCAAGAACTCAAAATTTTCACTAAGTGTCAAAAACTCAAATCTGAATGAGTACCTCACTTCTTGATCATATAACTTTTTATCCATGAGATTTTTGAAATTCAACCCTTCTACAAACTTGTAGTAGGAACTTTCCCCTCTGTCTTGTGCATTGGTTGGCAAATTTATAATCCTTGTGGAGTGATTTATGAACCTTGCAAAATAGCCATATGAACATGATATCTTTGTACTTAGTAAAAATTCGTAAACCCTAATTTAGCAACTTTTGGAAAATTTTGTGATTTCTCTTGATTTCTTTTTATCAAACTTCTTAATTTAATGAATGATGACTTATAATGTTCATATTTGACCAAAAATTCAAGAGTTGACTTTGACTTTTGACTGTCTGTTAACTTTTGCTTAGTGCAATAATTTCTTCTTCCTCTATCCAATTTGGATCCTCTGATGAACTTGTGATGATCAAATGATCACATCTGGATGCCTTGAAATGCACATTGAACCATAAAATCTTTTTTTTCTAAAAAAATCAGCCACAAGTTGACTTTAACCAAAACTCTAGCTTAGAGCCAAAAGATAGGAGAGTGTGATCAATTTCCAATCAATTGAGATCTTAAACATCTGATGATCATATGGTCTTGTTGAGATAATTTGGAGTGTAAGAAGGCCTTATAGTATGATAAAACCATGAGATTGAGGACATCTCTTCTATGTTACCTTGAACATCATCTCTCTCTTCTTTGATTAAAGAAAACCACTAGCACAAGATACATTAATCCCATAACCATGTAACCAATACAATGTATGAGTGCATATGATAATGAAACACAAACCAATTGGGGTTAGAGAAAATAGAGTAAATTTTGGGATACAACACTAAGAAATTTGAACTTGAAAAAATTCATACAGATGACAATTGTTCAGATATGATGACCAAGTCCTTACCTAAGGAGTAAGGACAAATGCAAGTTCTATAGAAGAGTTGCTAGACCGTTGAAACACTCCACCTAAAATGGAAAGGAGAGATTGATGAATCTTTCCTCTTTAAGTGGAGATAAAATGAAAGATTCGGAAATAAATTTAGTAATATGAATAAAAGAAGAAAAATGCTTATTAGTAAGAAAGTATGAATGCAAGAAAGACAAGAATTAAATCTCAATCATTCATCACCACTACTACCTCATGATTTCTATTAAAAAGGAAATTAAATTTAAAATAAATATAAAATTATCCTCTAAAAAATAACAAATATACATTCTTATCTTTCTTATTCAGATGATACTTACTATATAGCATTACTCATAAAAGAAATATGTAAGTAACCATTAACATTCTATTAGTGTTTTAACTGATATCTTTCTGAACAATATTCACCTTTATATTTTCTAATAAACTTTTTCACACATTGTCATTGGATTGGATTAAAACTTTTTTTTGGAGAAACTCAAATATAATAAAAAACAAGCAGGGGCAGACAACAAAAGGAAAAAAAGGTTACAACCTAAAAAAATGGTGGAGAGACAAGCCAACTCCATCAAGAGGACGTGAACCTAAAACAAGGTAAGCCTAATCTATTACTTACAAAATCTTTCCTAATGCTTAAAGGAATGGACTCAAAAATAGTTAGAGAAGTTAATTTTAAGCTTAAATTAGCTAAAAGATCTGCCCTCCCTAAAAATAGGAGAGAAATATAAGTGTTTGTTGTGATAATAGGAGATACAGGCGTTACATTGCCGCCGAAGCTATCAAGGGACAAGAGCAATAATAGCAAAAGCCTGAACAACAAATTTAGAGTCTAACTCTATCCACAACTTAGTCTAACCATTACTCATCGCAATTTCCATAACGGCTAAAGTAGCTTGAAATTCCACAATCGTAGAGGAAGGCCAATGAACAAAAGAAGCAAATGTCAAAAGGAAATTATTAAGGTTAGCTCTAAAAATACCACCACAGCCCAAAGATGTCGAATTCAAAGGAAAATCACCATCACAATTACATTTTACTCAATCTAGAGGAGGAGGATGTCAAAAAAAATCGATGATACGAGAAGCATCCGGAAGATAGATCTTAATATTATAGACTTTAAGAATACGAAAATCATCAAGAAAAGAGAAAGATGCAACATTAAATTAGATTAAAGCTATTTGCAAGGACAATTGTAACTGAACCTATCTAAATAGGAGATTATAATAGAAATCTAAAGATAAAACAAAATATGAGGAATAAAATATGAGAATTGAAGATGAATAAAATTTACACAACTTGATAAAATGAATCCAGCACGCCAATTCTTCCTCAGATTAGTAAGGTTCCGATTTTTAAATAATTAATTGTAAAAATCAAACCATTTATTTTTAATAAATTCAAATTTATTTGTATCTAAAAATCTGAATCAAATAGTCCTATTTTATTTTTTGGGATTAAATTTTCCAATTTTAATAAGAAATACAACGGTCACCATTCTGTTTGCATTGACAAATTCATATGAATGCACACCTATTATTTTGCCTGAAAACGACTAAATTGTTCTTTACAAATAAAAAATTATTTTAGCAAGTTGTCATGTTAATGAAACTAAAAAACAAAAGTGACATGATCAACATTGAGAATTTTCAACTCAACCATGTATTAATGCAATTTAATATTCATCATCAATTAAATAATTTAGTTGACTTTACCTCTAGTTTAACTGAATTCCAAAATCATATATATATCCGAATAATATAGCAAATGTGAATAAGTGGTGAAATAGTCCCACATTAAATAGGAATATAGATACTTAAACATATATAAATGAGAAAATTCATTTATCTATTATCTTAAAATTTTAGATAGAGAAGTGTTGTATCTCTCACAAAGATGCTTATTCCTATTAATTTTCGTAGTTCTGCACAATTCCAAACATTAGTCTTTATAATTATGCATAATTTTCACAAATATACACCTATTTGAAAAATTACTATACAATTGTGCATGGCTCTCTGCAAATGGACAGTGCTGTAGAAAATTCTTAAGTAGAGATAAATATAAGAATTAGTAATACATATAATTAATTATAAAATTTTAATTAATTAAAAATTAAATATAATATTTTCTCCCTCTTCATAATCATAACTATCCCATAAATTTAATTAAAAAAGAAATTAAAAATTAAATAAATTTATTTTTTTTCTTTTTTTATTAAATGTTTCTATAAATATGAATTTTGGGTGTTTCCATGCATAAATTTCTCCACTGCTCTTGGGATTAGTCTTCCTTACATAAAATATTTAATTTATACCAATAATAAATAAAGCATAGACACATCACACATTATTGGTGTTATTATTAATTAGTATATGAATACTAATTATGCAATGTAAAAAAATTTATATATATAACTCATTTCTAAGATTATTCCATATTACACCCCAACCACAACTCTTTAATTAGTCCACAAAATTAACCAAACCCTTAAACTTGCAAAGATTTCTTCTCTCTTTTTTTTTCAACTCCAAAATCAAAATCTATCATACCCTTTTCTTCTTAGATTCTCTCTTTCTCTAATCCAACCAATTTTCTTTATCTTCAACTCTCACAACCACAAATGTTTCTATCAAAACATGGCCCAAAGTTCTTCAAATTTAGAAGTCCCGTTTAATTCATATGTCATATCTATAATCTTTTCAATTTCTAAGATACCCTTTTAATTTTTTTCTTCAATTTCTCTTCAACCACAAATATCTTCAACCAAATTACTCATTACCCTTTCATCTTAACATTTTTTTATACCCAAATGGTTCATAAGAAATTCTACGAAATTTCATGCGGATTTATTGAAATGGCTTGGATTATGCTAAGTGTTGATTACTCAAGACTCTTATGGCAATTATTTGGTGTTTTTTCATATGAGAATCATGAATTTCAGCCTCGGATTATCTAGCATATACTTTCACTTGAGTCATACAAGATAAGATCACTTAAATATAAGTTCCATTAAGTACTTTTATTTTTAAGTTAATAAGATAAGATTTTAGAACCATGTTTAAAGGAAGAATAGGAGGCAAAGCTCAGCTTGGATATGTTGAAACTGATCCTTCCGGTCGATATGGACGTGTAAGTATTTCTAATTCATTCTCATGTTTTCGTATAGAATAAATTTTTTTTTCTTATTTATTAAAAATTCACATATTTAATCATGATAGTCCAATTTTAAATTCTAATATTTACATCAAATTTAATAATATTAATTTTTGTCAGTAGAGTAAATATTAAAGTAAATATTTCGAATTTCTTTAATATTATTTTGCTCGTAACAATAGGTTTTACTATTTCTTAAAAAAATAAAGGTTTGAAATTTTAGTTTTTCAAATTTACAAAATAACAATCAGAGAAAGATTTACCTATTCATTGTAATAGTCTTTGATGTATCGAATTATAAATAGTCTTTAATTGACTAACATATTTTTAATTTAAAGGACTAAATTGCAATTTTATAAATTTGTTGGATTAAATTGAAATTCAGACAAATATTAATTTACTTGTTAATTATTTTTCGGTTGCTATTTATGATTGAGTCAATTTACTAAGTCTATGCTTGTTACCATGGGAGACAGTCAGTCAAGGTTAACTCTATAGTACATCCAAGGGTCAGTCATATAAAGTATATTAAATTGAATTATTGAGACTCACTATTGATATATTGTCACACACCAAACATATACGTTTGACTTTTAGATAAAATTGTTAATATTTTGAATTATTTTTAGACGTATTTAATCTAATTGTTGAGTTGATAATAACAATTAATTAGTATGCTTAAAATAATGACATTGAAACATGTTTTAGATTAGAAGAGTAAGTGCTTGAGAGATTGTTATTGAATTAAAATTATTGTTGTGTGTAGTTTAAAGATGTCCTTGGCAAAGGAGCTATGAAGGTAGTTTATAAAGCATTTGATGAAATCTTAGGACTTGAAGTGGCTTGGAATCAAATAAAACTTGATGATGTTTTTCAATCACCAGATCAACTTCAACGGCTCTATTCAGAAGTTCATCTTCTAAAGAACTTGGATCATGATTCTATCATTACCTTCCATGGTACTTGGATTGATATTGATCGTAGAACCTTCAATTTCATCACTGAATTGTTCACTTCTGGAACTCTAAGAGAGTAACTCTTTAACCTTCACTTATTTTCATTACTTTTATATGTTTTGAATTGCTTTAAATCATAGTCGCAATTATGGTTATAAATTGCAGCCACAATTTAAAAATGTTGCACGCAAAAATCCGCAAGAAAACAGAGCGATGCAAATATAGTAGATTGTGCTGAGTGAAAACAGTGATTCACTCCGAAAAAACGGGACAGAGTGAACCCTAAACCCTTAAATTCCAAAAGTGAAAAAAAACACGTTTTTCTATAAAGGCACCCACCAAAACAAGGCAGAGCGGAGAATGCAGAGTAAAGAATGCATGTCTTAATTTTTTTGTTGGTAAAATACATATGTCTAGTGAGTTGGATCCGTTTTATCACCTATAATATATTCAAAGTAGTCGCGATCATAACTATAATTTTAAACCTTGATTCTAGTAGTTGATCTTTTATACCCCTACATAGTATTAGAGATAAAGGTTTGCTACTATTTTGTGTTTACAAATATTTTAGGCCTTTACTATTAGAGGCATAGTTTATTAGGTAGTTAAACTTAGTTTAACTGCTCAGTACTTTCTCTTTTTACCATATATAGTAAACTCCCTTGTAATACTGTGATTAGTAATAATAATAGTTTTACACCATACAATTTTCCCTTCTCTCATCTTGTTCACTGTGTGAAAGAGAGTCAAAGACTCATCTCCATTATGGTATCATTCGCAGTTCAATCCCCACGCTAATCTCTCAATCTTCTCCACTATGTCATCGTCTTCTCCACCGCTGATCCAAATCGTTTTTTTTACTTTTCTCCTTCCGAAGCTTCAAGCATTCATCCATGGAATCTGGAGACAATCAAGAATTCGGTATCAGAGGTACCACACACACACAAGATATTGCAACTGTGTTTGCTTCTTCAAAATCCAACAATGGATTTGGTCCCAAACTCTAAATCAAGCTGCATGAAAACAATTACCTACTCTAGAATCAACAAGTGGAAGGTGTGATTCTCACACAAAAAATGCATAAGCTCGTTGTCGATCTGCATATTCTGTTGAATTTCAAGACTGCACAAGATTGTCTTGATGGTACGACTTCTGAAGACTATGAAGCTTGGGTCATACATGATCAAGCTGTTTTCATTTGGTTGCTTTCCACCATCTCAGAATCAGTATTACCTAGGGTTCTTGCTTGCAAGCATGCATTTAAGGTCTGGGATAAGACTCATCAATATTTTAATGCGTAGATGAAGGCTTGAGTGATACAATTGCGCGTTGAGCTCAAATCCACAAAGAAGGGAAACAAAACTATCACAAAGTATGTGCTGCGCATCAAAGCTATTGCCAATTCGCTTCTTGTAGTTGGAGATTCAATAACGAAACAAGATCAAATTGACTCGATTCTTCAAGGGCTTCCTGAGGAGTTTAGTCCCTTTGTGATGCAGATGTATGGAAGTCATGTTCCCATGAATATTTGTGATGTTGAAGCGTTGTTGTATGTACATGAAGCTCATCTAGAAAAGTTTCATCAAGAATTGGAGGCTACTACCATTGCAGCAAATCTTGCTCAAGCTAATCAAGAAAATATTGGCTCCAGAGGAGCTTACTCAGGCAATCGGGTTCGCGGCAATCGAGTCAATCATGCTCGTGGTCTTGGTTGAGGGAAACTCTCTACTGGAAATCTTCCTACATGCCAACTCTGTGGTAAGTATGGACATGTTGTCAACACCTGCTGGCACCGGTTTGATGAGAATTTTGAGCTACCCAAAACTGCAAACAATCAGTCTAACTCCGCAAACAATGGCACATCCAATCAGAGTACTACTCAAGACTCAGCTTCCAACAATGTTGCTGTGATGCGATGGGAGAACTGACTTGAGGTTTTGCGTTTGTGTTCGCAAATGTTTCGGTTTAGCAAGAGACGCCACTGACTTTTTATTTTATCCTAAGGAAAGGTCAAAAAGCACAGGAAAAACCTTTGAGATGTTTTCTTGGGTTCGGGGAGTAGATTATAGAAAGGGAAGGTATTAGAACCCTTTCTATCCATGGTTATCCATGGGCTCTTAGTTACTTATTTAGATCACTTGCTTTGTTTTTCAATTGTTTGAAATGGTGCTCTTCAATTGTTTGAAATGGTGCTTTGTATGTGGTTTTGAAAGATGTTTTGAAAAGAGGCCATCGTTGTGGCAACCTTTGTAATGATTCTTGTTTGAATGTATACAAAGGTGTCTTTGTCTTTTGAAAAGTTTTCAATGTTTGAAAGTAGGGGTTTTGAAATTGTGTTGTGAAGTATGTTTTGAAAATAGCAAGGATGTTTTTGCAAGCTTTTGATCAAGTAACTAAGAGTTATCTACCCTATTTTACTCAAAGATCTTTCTTATGTTTTTAACCCTTTTAACAGTGTTGCTTCACCATTGTGTTTGGTGAAAAAACTTGTGTTAGGATGTTAAACGGGACAGGCGCGGGTCATCGTATAGACCATGATAGCAATTGTGTCAAGTATCTTCGGCAATTTTCTTGAGGGACTTGATCATTTTTGTTTAGGCAACCAAGATAACGTCATCGAGGGACTATGATCTTTTGTTTTGTTCTTGTTTTGCCAAAGTACCCAACATGCATATTATGGCCTATTTTTGAAGGCAACAAGTGGATTATAACCCTAGGGGTGCAAGTGTGTATTGTGTTTGATTTTCATGCATTTTTTGTCTTTGATTAGGTCAAACTATTTGTTAAGTGGATTTTGCATACAAACCCTAATTCTCTAGTCATGGCATAATTGAAAGCGTTAAATGCGAGAATTTAAATTCTAAGCTATTACATCATGATTATGGGGATGAGGGTACAATTTTTGAATAGGGGGTATTTGACAAGAAATATAAAACCTTAATTATTATTACATCCAAATTGAATGTCAAATGCAATCAAAATTTAAATGTACAATATTTAAACAAAGTGAACAAATATTTAAATAAAAATGTATTATGCAAAAAAAGTTTTTATTTGTTCATGTATGCAAAAAGTATTTTTAATGTAAAAGGTATAAAGAAATAAATAAAAGATTAATTTTATTTGTTTTTAGGGCAAAAACCCTAATTTCTTAAGAAAATAAATATAATGTATTATTTATGTACAAAAATATAATAATATGTATAAAAATGAAATATATCCAAAAAAAAGGTATTTTTTAGTATAAATAATAATAAAAATAAAAATATAATATTTTTGTGTTTTATTTCTAAGTATTTAATAAAACAAAAGTATATATATATATATATATATATATATATATATATATATATATATATATATATATATATATATATATATATATATATATATATATATATATATATATATATATATATATATATATATATATATATATATATATATATATATATATATATATATATATATATATATATATATATATATATATATATATATATATAATATATATATATATATATATATATATATATATATATATATATATATATATATATATATATATATATATATATATATATATATATATATATATATATATATATATATATATATATATATATATATATATATATATATATATATATATATATATATATATATATATATATATATATATATATATATATATATATATATATATATATATATATATTAAAAAATAAAATAAAATATTTATAAAAAAAATATAATATACTTAAGAAAATATTTTTGGTGTAAATAAAAAATAGAAATGAAAATAAAAGTATTATTTGCATTATTTTCAAGTTTAAACAAAATAATATAAGTATTTAAATTGTTGTTTATACTAGAAAAAATCAAAATAAAATATCTAATAAATGAAAAAATTGTGAAAATATTTTTAGAGTATTTTTTATATTTGAAAATAAAATATCAAAGTCAGAAAAGAAATTAAAATGCAAAAATAATGAAAATACAAAGAAATGGGTCAGGGGGTGCTGAAAGTAAGTTGGGAGGTGTTGGAAGCAAGAAGGCCAGACCCAGTCCAGACTTCATCTTCAACCTCCAAAAATTTGAAAAAACACGTGCATGCCTGTACAAACTTGTATCTCCTGTATTTGTGATCTTTTGACAAAACTCAAAACATGAAACTTGTAGAGCATCAAATCACGAATCTAACCATATAAAAAACTTAATCTAACTCTCAAAGACCAGCGAGAATTTCTCTGGCCCTAATTTCTAACCTAGTTTTTTCAGAAAGTTCATGGATGAAATTCTCCTAGCACGATTAATATAAATGAAAACTGAGCATATGTATGGTTTCAGGGAAATGAGTACAACATCTTTCATTCACAAACCTAAGGCTAAATGTTCCTAAATAGAGAGATAGAAGTTTATGAAATACATGTTTCAGTTGAGTTCGAGTTGGCCAATACCGCTATCTGTGGGGAGAATGTTACCACTAAGAATACTACTGCTCATACTCAAGAGTACTCTCTCCCCGCTGAATTAGAATCCAAATCTTTGTTTGCAGATTCAGGTGCTACTCACCATTTAACTCTATATGCTAGTTTTTTACAAAATCAAAAACCATATAGAGGAAATAATAATGTGTATGTTGGTAATGAACAAAAATTGTCTATCCAAGTTGTAGGATATTTGCATTTTTACTCTAAGCTCATGCCTAATTTCAAGTTAAGCTTGTTTGAAGTTCTTCTAGTCCCTACTATTACCATAAATTTTCTCCTTGTGTCTAAGTTCTCTAGTGACAACAATGTTCTATTTGAGTTTCTACCTGATAAATGTTTCATTAAATCCCAGGCTTCTAAACAAGTATTGGTTGAAGGCACTAGTGATGGAAAGGGCTTATACTGCTTTTCTACATATTCCTTGGATCTCATAAACTCTTTCAGCTTTAATAAAACTCCACAATTGTCATCTGGTATTCATTGCTATGTAGTCTCAAATTCAAATTCTGATAGTTCTATTATCAATAGATGTAATACTAGCATGTTATGGAATCACAAATTAGGTCATGCAAACATTAAATTT